ATTAATCATCTTGCTTCGTCTTGTTATTCTTGGCCTGTTTTTCCAGTACAGAATTCTTCATCCAGTTAAAGATGCGTATGGCCTATGGTTAACTTCGGTAATATGTGAAATATGGTTCGCCGTTTCGTGGATTCTGGATCAGTTCCCAAAATGGTGTCCAATAGAACGGGAAACTTATCTCGATAGGCTGTCACTGAGGTGATGATTGAAAACGTTTATTTGATAGTTTGGAGATTTTTCCGTGTACTTTCGGAAGCTCGGTCTGATTATTCGGTTTTCCCATTTTCAGGTATGAGAAAGAAGGGAAGCCTTCTGAATTAGCCAGTGTGGACGTATTTGTTAGTACTGTCGATCCGACCAAAGAACCTCCATTGATCACTGCAAATACAGTACTTTCCATCCTTGCAGTTGACTACCCAGTCGATAAAGTTGCATGCTATGTCTCGGATGATGGTGCAGCCATGTTAACATTCGAAGCACTCTCGGAGACATCTGAATTTGCAAGGAAATGGGTCCCTTTCTGTAAGAAATTCAATATCGAGCCCCGTGCCCCCGAGTTTTATTTCTCTCAGAAGATCGATTATTTGAAGAACAAGGTCCACCCAGCATTTGTCAGGGAAAGGCGAGCGATGAAGGTTTGTTACAAACGTAGTTTTTTCCTTTCAATTTGTGCAAATTATATAACCTCATTTAGAACGGTGATTGAAGTTAGGATGCTGATACTATATCTGTAACATCCTAAACCTACCGCTAGCAGATATTGTCCTTTTTAAGCTTTTCCTTTCGAGCTTCCCTTCAAGGATTTTATAATGCATTTGCTAGGGAGGCTCGAAAGGGAAAGTAAAAAAAGGACAATATCTGCTGGCGACGGTTACAATATCCTTCTGGTTTGCTGTGACAATGTTACTGACTGTCTGTTCATTCACTTTGCTTTCAACAGAGAGAGTACGAAGAGTTTAAGGTTAGGATAAATGCTTTGGTCTCCATGTCTCTAAAGGTTCCCGAGGATGGCTGGACAATGCAAGACGGTACTCCATGGCCTGGGAACAATGTTCGAGACCACCCCGGCATGATTCAGGTAATATATCTTCGAAATCTGTCGACATTTTGTTAATAAGAACGGCTTGCTGTTCTGAAGCTCTAAAACCTACAAATGAATGAGGTATTGTTAGTACAAGCTAAAGATACTTTGCATTTGTGCCTTTACAGGTTTTCCTTGGCCAGAACGGAGTATGCGACATTGAAGGAAACGAGCTACCACGTTTGGTTTATGTTTCTCGTGAAAAGCGGCCAGGGTTCGAACATCACAAAAAGGCCGGTGCCATGAATTCACTGGTACGTATTAAGCTAAAATCTTCTTCCCCTGAATCTTTAGACGACCATCATTCAGCTTCTGCCATTTGATCACAATTACGCTACCCGTAAACCTTACTCTTCTTTCCATTTTCTGCTTCGAAGATTCGGGTCTCAGCTGTTCTGTCAAACGCTCCCTATCTTCTTAATGTTGACTGTGATCACTACATTAACAATAGCAAGGCACTTAGAGAAGCTATGTGTTTCATGATGGATCCGACATCCGGGAAGAAAGTTTGTTATGTGCAGTTTCCTCAAAGATTCGATGGGATTGATCGACACGATAGATATTCAAACCGGAACGTTGTATTCTTTGATGTACGTATATGATTCATTGGTTGGATAATGTTCTTTAAATTTGTCTACCATTGCCTAGTTGAAAGACTAATGTAAACTTTTTAATACAGATTAACATGAAAGGATTAGACGGAATACAAGGACCGATATACGTTGGTACGGGATGTGTTTTCCGGAGGGTTGCTCTCTACGGATTTGACGCTCCTGCCGAGAAAAAACCGCCAAGCAAAACATGCAACTGTTTGCCAAAATGGTGCTGTTTATGTTGTGGGTCTAGAAGGAACAAGAAAGGAAAGGCTAAGAATGAGAAAAAGAAGAAGACCAAGCACAGAGAAGCATCAAAGCAGATCCATGCTCTCGAGAATATCGAGGAGGGAATCGAAGGTAACGAATCGACATTGAAAGATGCTGTTTTCTTTTTGTATAATAGATATTTAACACGACTCGCCATATGTTTTTTCCGCAGAACTAAGCATAGAGAAACTGAGCGTGTCTGAAATAAAACTGGCGAAGAAATATGGGCAATCTCCAGTGTTCGTCGCCTCGACCCTGTTGGAAAATGGAGGCGTTCCTCATGATGTGAGTGCTGCATCTCTTCTAAGAGAAGCCATTCAAGTCATCAGTTGTGGTTATGAAGATAAAACAGAATGGGGGAAAGAGGTTAGTAATAAACGATAATCGTGACGTTTTTCGCGTTCTATGAGATTTAGTCTCTTAAATCTTTCAACATGATTTCAGGTTGGCTGGATTTATGGTTCTGTGACTGAAGATATCTTAACTGGATTCAAAATGCACTGTCATGGCTGGCGGTCGGTGTATTGTATTCCGAAGAGACCCGCGTTTAAGGGGTCAGCTCCGATCAATCTCTCGGATCGTCTTCACCAAGTTCTTCGGTGGGCTTTAGGATCTGTCGAGATATTCTTGAGCAGACACTGTCCTATCTGGTATGGTTATGGAGGCGGGTTGAAATGGTTGGAACGATTCTCGTACATAAACTCGGTGGTCTATCCGTGGACCTCGATTCCGTTGCTCGTTTACTGTAGTCTTCCAGCTATCTGTCTTCTCACTGGAAAATTTATTGTTCCTGAGGTAATCTCTCTCACATTTACAAGAATTTTTCTTCACTTTTTGCGCTCTTTGATTTGTATTTGAGTAGAAAAGTATTCCATTTTGTGTTAACTTGGCTTGGTTTATCCACCATTTGCAGATTAGCAACTATGCTAGTCTTATTTTCATGGCACTCTTCATTTCAATTGCTGCGACGGGTATCCTCGAGATGCAGTGGGGCGGTGTCGGGATCGACGACTGGTGGAGGAACGAGCAGTTCTGGGTTATCGGAGGCGTTTCGTCGCATCTTTTTGCTCTCTTCCAAGGTCTACTCAAGGTTTTAGCCGGTGTGAGTACCAACTTCACAGTTACATCCAAAGCAGCCGATGATGGTGAATTTTCAGAGCTCTATATTTTCAAGTGGACATCACTGTTAATACCTCCCACAACCTTGTTGATCATAAACATCGTCGGTGTGATCGTCGGGATCTCAGATGCCATCAATAATGGATACGATTCCTGGGGTCCTCTTTTCGGGAGGCTATTTTTCGCTCTTTGGGTGATTATCCACCTCTACCCGTTCCTGAAGGGATTGTTAGGGAAACAGGATCGGATACCGACGATCATCGTTGTTTGGTCCATTCTTTTAGCCTCAATCTTAACATTACTTTGGGTAAGGATCAACCCATTTGTATCCAGAGATGGTCCTGTTTTAGAAGTTTGCGGGTTGAACTGTGATTAGGGAACAGGTTGGTCGGTGGGTCGGGACGGGACGGGAGAAGACGAGAAGATTATGGTTTTTGCAGGAGATTTGACTAATTTTTGTGGGAAGAAAGTTAATGAAGCAGTATGATGTAGATAGAGGTGGGGAATTGTTACTTGTTCTATAGATTTCTTCGATTCTTTTATTAAAATTACTCTGTTCTCTGGGTGCTTACTAAATTGTTCGTTCCTTGTTCATGTCCCCTTCATAATCTCAACTCAAATACTATAATTTATTCCCTTTTCAAACTCTTCAGGGATATCATCTCTCTTCATCATTCTTCATCTCTTCCTCTATTCAATATTCTTCACTTTCCATTTGAATTTCAACTTTCAATCTCATTGTTCTTCACTTCAAATTTGAATTTCAACTTTCAATCTCATTGTTCTTCACTTCAAATTTATGGGTTCTTGCCTAAATTGATCATAGTTCCCTCGCGGTGACCATAGATACTGTTAGAGAATCAGATAAAGCGATGAATCATAGTGCTCTTGTGTGACAGGATAGTGATTGTGTGACGTTTGTTCTAGCCCAGTGAACAAGTTAGTCGTGAGAAGTTTGGACTCGTGGACAATGTTGGTGTATACTTTGAGCATTGGGTAGCGTCTGAGAAAATTGTTTTGGAAAACGTGAGTGAGGAAATATAACCTGGATAGGAAGAAGTGATGACTAGTCATCTCTGCCTGTATTGACATAACGTGAAATAGTAAAAGTTTATCTAAGATGAAAACATGTAAAAGGAGTTTGGAACGGATATGTGGTCATGGACAACACGTCCTGGACAAGCATGACTGAAACATTCGATATGAAGCCATAGACAACAAGTCTTGGACAAGCATGACTGTGGCAACAAACAACTATGAAGAATTGTAAAGAACGAGATATGACATCAATTGAGCATTTCTTTTCGTTGTATTCGAGTTCGTATCGTCCCATATGAATTATGAAATTTATGTTTCTTTTGTCATAGGTTTTAAACAGAATTAAGCATAGTAATCAAGTTAAGAAATTGAAATTGAATAGTAATTTCCATTAGAGGAATATTTAAATAAAAAAACCAAATAATAATAATAAAGTAACCATTTTGCCTCCAAAGTAATTAGTCTTCCACACGCTTAATTATTATGTAGTAAGGCCCAAACCATAAATAGGTCAACGGGTAAAGGTCAAAGGTCAAAGTCAAAAGTCATGATTTTTTTATGCTTCCAAATTAACCCTTATTAGGAAAAACATCATATTTACGAGTTTGACAATTTCCACTTACCTTCCTTCAATCAATCACAACCGTTCAATTTAAACCCTGTTCATCCGACGGCTTACACTTGGAATGTCAGAGGTCAAGAAAGTCAATAATATAGTGAGAATCGGACGGTTTGGAGAACTCCATAAATTCGTTGTTTATAATAGAACCGGATGTAGCAGATCAGCCCGGACAACTTTATATAACCAGAAAAAAAAAAGAAAATATTATAATTTCCATTTTCCACCAACGTTTCTCTCTCCTCTGTTTGTTGTTTCTCTCTCTTCAAAAAAAACTCTGCAACTTCAAAAAAAAACGAGATCTTTCGCAAAACCCATAAAAACCCATAAGAAATTACTTACGCTAAATTAAAAAGAGAGGAACTTGATCACTCCACTTCATTCTCTCCCTTGTTTCTCTCTCTAAAGCTGAGTTTTTTTTTTTTCCATGGGAGAAGACTCGTCGGAGGAGGTACTGGTTGCGGCGCAGCTGTTGATGCAGCTGAGCATCGAGGATGACGACGACGACGACAACTGTAGTAGCAATGTCGTTGTGGCGGTGGAGAAGATGAAGAACAAGAAGCTGAAAAAGGGTCACGGCGGCGACCGCGGTGACGGTGGGGAGGAGGAGGAGGTTGATCAGAAGAGATACCAAATTGAGACGTCAATTTGGTTGAAAATCGAAGAGATTTTCGGGAAAGATGATGAAGAACAAGATTTCAATTCCATTTGTCGGCCTAAGAAGAGACGATTTCGATCCCTCCAAAGCATATATGTCACCACCAAACCCATCGGTAATGGTAGATTCCCGGCAAGGGGATCGTCAGAACTTGAACACGGCGGCTATGGCGGTGGCTAACACTCGAGTAGAAACAAGTTATTAGATTCCTTTCCAGAGTAGATTATTAGATATAACGCTTGTTTGACTCTTGAAATCACACGTAGTTGTAGTTGAAACAACTCGTCATTGAAGAGCAAATGATATTGTAAAGTTCGAACACAGAATCTCCTCATTTAATATCACTAATAAAAAAAAAAAAAAAAAAACGAGATAAGTTATGACAAACTTAATTATATAATGCAATAGAGTGCAATAGAGTTCAATCACGATGATCAAAACATAGTTTAGTAGATGATATAACACACTAAATATAAATTTAGGGTATATATAGTTTAGTAGATGATATAACACGCTAAATACAAATTTAGGGTATATTTAAAAGTACATTTGTTTATTTAAAAGTTTAATGAAACGACATGTCAACTTAGAAATGACGTGTTTCTAAACATTTTTAAAGCAATGTTCTTATTTTTTTAAAAAATGACATTTTTAATGAGAACTTATTTTTTAGAAAATGACACTTTTAATGAGAACATTATGACACTTTTAATGAGAACATATTCGGTGTAATTGTTTGACCTATTTTCGTTGTTTTGTTTTAGTAACATAAAAGTCCAATGATAAAAATAAGGATGTTGTATGTGCATGTGTTTTGTGAACAAATTCACTGTTCAAAGTTGTGCATGTGTTTTGTGAAATGCAACTATTCCATTAAATTTGGATGAAAAAGTGTATGAAAGAATGTACGGCTGCTTCTACACTACCGCCTATTGAATAGAGAGTAAAAATTTGGGTCTGAAGTTAATTAGGAGCTACCAAAATCTTCCTATGTCAAAACGCTACGGAAACTAAAACTCCTACTCCCATGGCACCAACGTTACCAACCACATTCATCAACAATTTGCCTCTCAAGCAGCTGCTGCTTGAACTGGACCATCTGATCGATAAAAACCACCACGACCACGAGCCCGCCCCCTGCCCCGACCACGCCCTGCAAAACCTTTACATAACATATAGTCAACCGAATGTGCTCGGGTTCGAAACAATGGTATGGCATACTAGAGTTTACATACTTTTATAACCAAAAGAAGAAGGCTAACCAAGAGGATACTACTCACCAGGTACTGGTGGTGCCATAGGATCACCATAATCAAAATATCCACCTGATTGGTAACCATAACCGCGTCCTCTTCCACGAAATGCACGACCTCGTCCACGTCCACGACCTCTACTTCCAAAACCTTGCCCTCCATCCCAACCATCGCCCTGATACTCAGATGGACCGTTGTAGTTCCCTACACGAGATCGACATTCAAATTAAGATCATGAAAAGATGAACCTCTCATAATCCTTGTTTAAGAGAATAATTTTACCTCTACCTCTGCCTCTTCCTCTACCACGTCCTCTACCTCGTCCTCCAGGCGATCCCTCTAAATCAAAGTAAATTGGTGCAAATTAATTAACATCAGTTCATTACTACTTGTAAATGAATTGAAATGAAAAAACCATTTTATATTATTCACCTCCGTCATCTTCTAATTCATTCCATGGTTTCACCTGGTCAACGGGAAGAGGTGATTGGTACCTAAATAGAAGTAAAACAAATGAAAATGGTGGTCAAGAAGCAGATCCACTTAAATATTGAAGAACATGGAGCTTCAATACTGAATCTTAACAAATTAGGCAAACCACATGACAAATATTTACCCTGTGGAGGAAGCATCTAGCTCGTTCTTGGACAAGATAATTGATACCATCGAGACATGCCTTGTAGTCTCGAGACTGCAAAGAGTAGAGAAAAATGAGGCATCAGAACAACTGTGCTACAAAGCTAAAAGTGTTAAATTTTCAGAAGCATACGGAAGAAGGCCTTCTTCGAGTGGCTCCCACATGTCAGTTATATCAGTAGATCCAATTGCTGTGGTCTGATGGAGACAAGCAATCCTTCTCTGAACAACAAGGAAAAGGTAGATAATGTAGAGGGTATTGCAAGAACACCAAAAGAACAAGCACGGTGAAGAGAATAACCATACCTTAATTAGTTCAGCTATCATTACAGTCTTATTGATAGCTCTGCCCATTCCCTTGACAACAATCTCGTTTGACTCTTTATCCTATGAAAGAACCCAGAAATCATAAGCAATGAAATCAAGCTATAACAACAATTTATTTAAGGATGGAGAAAAGTAGGAAATAAGAGTTGAGAATCTGTGGCTGAAAGAGGAACATGCACAAGCAGGAAATAAGAGTTGGACATTACCAATAATGAAAACAATAATAGAAACAAAGTGCAAATGTGTAGCTACGAACCACAGTATTCGGGGTTTGAACCCCTCCTGCACAGTATTCGGGGTTTGAACCCCTCCTGACCCATAATCGGCCAAAAAGGAAACGACTAGGATAGAAAACTCATGATTAAGGTAACAGACCCAGAATTATGGAACTTGGGTGTGAGTCTTTTGTCGAAATAGAATGACCTTATCTTGGGTGTGAGTCTTTTGTCGAAATAGAATGACCTTATCTTTTTATTTTTTCTTTTTCGTTAATGTGTTAAGGGTGGAGTGGATTCTCTCTCAAGGAGACCCTAATGCGAAAGAAAGTGGATAAAGAATTCTACTCATCGGTGAAAGAGGTCCCCTAATTGATATTGACATCAAAATCAAAAGCAAGGTTTGACAGTTTTTCATAGCAAAAGAAAAGCACTAACAAAGAAAGTAATAGCATAAAACAAAAGTTTGGCATTAAATAATGTCTACAAGATAAATAAAATTGACCTCGAATTAGGCATTTGGAGTATTAAAAGCAGGAGCACTACAAAATTAGAAGTACACATTGGACGTTGTTCTTCACTCACATAATTAAGTGATACCCATAATAGTACATGAGCAAATACAGCCGAGAGAAGAAACGGACCTGGAGAAGAGTGGTGGCATAAGTAATGTAGTTCCTCATCCTTCCTTGAGTAGTAATGCGAATCTCATTCTCGTTTATAGGAGAGTTCTCTAACTTCGGCTTCTCCACTCTCTGGTACCTATCCATCTGACACCACAAACAACAACGCAGGATTGAATACACGAATTAACGCTCAAAATATAAACAGCACGCAAGAGTTAATGGTGTGTTACCGTGAGTGGGCTGAGTAGTAGAAGAAGAAACGAAGAAGTGAATAATCTGGAGAAGCTCGCAACCGATAGAAGAATCTACAACCACTCCGTCTGTGCGTGAATTCACCTATTTGATTGGGCAGTGGGTGGTTTCAAAAACTAAGCCCCTCCGAAGGCCCCGTGGATTTTATATATAGAAAGAAAAGGAGAAGAAAAGGGGTGGCCGAGTATGATCCAGTGAGAGTAGGGCTTTGAGGTCCCGGTCTTACCGCCGCCGCTACCGCACGTAATCCTCCTCGATCACTGCCATCTACCAATCCCCCTCCGCCATCTTCACTATCAGCAGATTCTCTGTGGAGTTGGGCCCATTTCACATCCCCTCTTCGGCCCAATTGGCCCATATTCACTCTTGGAATTTGGGTGTTTAAAAGCCCAATTCGTCACAAGGTTCTCTTCTCTCTCTAAAATATATATGTTAAATATATTTATTCTAGTCCATGCGAATCTTTAGATGCTCACCAAATATACTTTAATAATGTTATAACCAGTTTATTACAATGAATGTTAAATTACTTCCCAAGAAATTCATATGTCAATCGGTGTTATGACATAAATGTACTTTTTCTAAAGTATAGATGTTGAGCAATATGATTTATTTTTGCACGTAATTGACAACTCACCAATATTATGGTGAATCATTTTCAATTTAGTATTATATAGAAATTATTTCCTCAGCTACCACATTGAAAGCATATCGTTGTGTTTTTACTAATGTAGGGCTAAGCAACGCCTTTTAATTTAGGTCCAACGTAAAGTTGAGAAAGAAGAATAATATTTTTATATATATAAGCTACCAAAAGAAACAAGATAATAACTCGTATCACACGTGTCATTCACCCACCTGATCTAAGTCTCACTGTCCGAGCATTATATTGAAAACACCCTTCTTTAAGTTATCCTACAATATGGAAATCATAAAAATGTCGACAATTTCTACTAAAAAACAGCTATAAACTTGCATTCAGTCCTGAAGGGCAAGAGTTATGAACATTGGGAAAAATTTGTATAAATTAAGGGCTTCAAGTAATCGCTGGCAGATATGAATCTGTAATATTGCACGAAAATCCAACTCAAACTATGTGTGTTTCAGAGAAGACTTTCAACAAAATGCATGCATTGCAAGGCATGTTCAAAGAAAGCAGCAGCTCCACAAGTCGGCACTAAGGCATCCATCCAAGCCAACAAAAAGTATTCGCTTGACACTCATGTTATAGAAGAGTAGAAATGAAGAATAGGTACCAATTTCCAGCATAAGGAACAGGGCGTTTTACGTTTCTATCCAGAAAGTCAACTCAATTTTAACCTGTACTTCTACATGCACCTATTACAGAAACGGGGGAGGAATTAGAGATTGACTGGACGGCTGGAGGGATCTTCTGGTTACTCCTAAATGATGAGAACCACGAACGGCATTCAAGCTCCTATAAACTTGGCTTCATAAACCTGCGGTTGCTGCATCACAGAAGATATGATATTGAGAAGAAGCTGAAACAGAGAAATCTAACACAAAGGAAATGAGTTCCAAAAGCCCTAAAAATCAAGCTCCCCGACACAATTTCTTCTTCCTAATACCAGTCTATAAGAATTGAGAAATTTATTACGAGCTAATTGAAGCTTTTGAGTTAAAAACAAACCATGAACAATACTGATATCTGCCTGCCTGCAAACCATCTCAAGTGCATTGCACGTTGAGCATTAATAGCAGCTTCCACCGTATCATATTGCAGATACACACATCCCGCGCTATTTCTGCAAAATATAAAATCATAAAAGAAAAATAAAACGATGAAATGACATTCTACACAAACAAACATCTATTTAATCACATAATAACGCAATGTTCGAAAGTTCAATTCTAGGACATAACGATGAAATGACATTCTGTTGAAGACTAAGTTTCCAGTGTGTGTATATATATATATAATAGAAAATGTTGTCAGTCAAGTATATTTTTAAGTTTATAATAATTCAGGGCTAGCGTAGGATAGCCATTTCCATAGCCTTCCTAAAATTAAATAAGGAAAATAAGATTCTCCCATCCATGGAGGCATTAGTAATTTTTTTCCATCCCTAATCCGGAAGTATCTGCAAATGAGGATCAAAGATCCAAGTTAATGCCCCAACACGGCACAAAACAAATTCAAGAAAGATATGAACAGGGGACACATCCTGTATTTTAGCATTGTAGCAATAAATATGACCGATTAAAAAAGAAAGCAGAAATATAAATTTGAATAAAAAATGAATAGATGAAGTTTCATATGAGCTGAAGTAATTAATATGATTATGGGGACAAGAAAAAAAGACTCACTTATCCACATATATATGCTTAACATGACCATATTTAGAACACTCCTCTTCAACATCTTCTTTGATTTCCAAGTCAAAGTCTGGTGCTGTCTGCAAGATGATTCGTATCATAAATAATCCACCTCAGAAAATGAGAAACAGAACATTCAATTATTCAGTACCTCCGTCGATGGATCAAACATGTTTTTCAGTAGTAGGCATTCACTAGGACTTCCAACAGATTGTAAAACAGGTGGAGTAAAATTCGCAGGAAGTACTGGTGCAGCAACTGCAGCTTGACCATTTAGTGGCAAGCTGGTAGCTCTCTGATTTGGGGCTGACGCATTCAACACTGGAGCTCCAAGAGATCCTGCAATACTGAAACCATGAAGCAATAACCATGAAGCAGTTGACTTGCATTGATCCAATCTTTCTTTCTTAGAGAATAAAAATACGTCCATTCAAGAATATGGAAGTACTAACTACTAAAGAGGGAAAATAAGACATCTCGCTTCTTAATCACACTAAAAGGAGACAAACCTGGTAGCAATGCCAGTGCGGTCAAGCTTCTGCATAAGCAGAGCTCTTGATTGAGCATTCAATGCCTGCAATCAGTCGTTATAATTAGTAACCAAAAAGTGCTCTAGTTGGAAGTAATCAATGTGAAAAAGTATCCAATCAGCACAGTTCAACGGTCATCAAATAAATGATATGACACATGATCATAATCTGATGATAATAGTCTCATCTTCATTTTTTTTTTTTTTTTTTTGTTCTCCTTTTTTCTTTTATGCATGTGAGGGGAATAGAAAAATCTGAAGCAAGGTGTCATAAAAGAAACTAAACACCAACCAGACCGCCCCCTTCATCATCATCAAGGTCATTTGATTTTGCAACGTTCTCTTGTGCTCCAATGTGATCTGTTACAGATGAAACCTGCACAAACAGTATTATTTAAAACACACAGAACCCAGGATGTCATCATTCTTCAGAGAAGCCCGAATAACAAACAGATATATTAGTATTAAACACAAGTTTAAATCTGATAGGTTCTAGCAGCAAACTACCTTAATGGTTCGGCCTGCAATTTCTAATTTCCCATTCAAGCTTTGAGCTGCCTTCGCATGCTCTAGATGAGCAAACTGGAAACAAGTTAAAAAATTAAGACATACCTTTATGAGCTATGGACTGAGTACATCAGAAACTCGCAAAAATTGATAACAAATGATTACCCACTTGAACAAATCCAAAACCCTTGCAGTGACCCGATTCAAGGTCGAGAGGTAGTTGCACAAGCTCCACGGGACCAAAAGCTTCAAAAATCTAGTCAGAAAAGAAGTGATGCTCTGTTAGACCTCCATTCCAGAAGGTTTATTCAAGGGAAAAACTGAAATGTATCTGTTTCCTGTTTCTAACATTAAGAAGAATCGGTTATAGCCAGTTTCCTTGTTTGAATATTCTGAATAGGTAAGTAATAACTCCCTAGGTCAGTTAGTGTGGAGAAATGGATGACCCTCTCAAACAAGGGTACATGGGTATTTTGTGTGTTAACTGACAGTATTGTGGAGAGGGATGACTCTCTCAAACTAGTCATTGGCAAGATAGGTTGTAATTTCCTTTGAAATATATCTGAGAGAAGGAGGACAACTATTATAGTCCAAAGGTTATATGCTATGATTATTTTAAATCCGTAGAAACCGAATCTAAATTCTCTGCCAGAGCCTATAATTCATAGACTATGATTTTACAATAGGGAAACCATGTTCACTGCATATACTATCAGAAATGATTTTGATGCATAAATTTGTTTCTTGTTCAATGTCAGTCTACACTTGTCACTTGTAGAAAAAATAACTGCGTATGAGAGGAAATCAAATATGAATGTCTTGAGATAAAATTTCATAGATTTATTGGTCTAAGTACCTCTCGAAGGTGAGTCTCAGTCATGTTAAAATGTAGATTACCAACATATAGTTTCCTGTCTACTGCTCCATATGGACCTGCACCAGAGGCCCCAGACGTATTTGATTGAACAAGATTCTTTTCAGCCTCTGAAGGTTTAACCATAACAGGTTGCCCAAAAAGTAGTTGACCAGAGAGAGCAATAGCCATGGGCACAGACATCGCATCATAAAATTCAACATACCTGCAGTTTAATCAATACCTCAAAGTAAAATTATTAGAACATGAGACAGCAAAAATAAGAAACAAAGTTTACAAAGCATAAGATAAATAAACTACACAGAGACCTCAGACTTTCTAGGACTAATTAAATAGTTAAGTCAGTTCATCAATGAAGAGGCAACACAAAACCAAATAGCAGATGACCAGCTTAAACTAGATGGGGGGTCCTATGGTGACTATTTGTCGCCATTCCTAATTTTGTCAATTAGCATATACAAATTAATCCCCAAAAAAATCATTATTGATAACCGATGGACAGTCCTCTCAATAAAAATTCATTGCACAGTAAGTACTATGGGAAAGATGCCATAGAAGACCTTCTCTAAATTTTTTTTTTTTTTAATCAAAGACCCCCCC